ATTATAAATAATGGAAATAAGAGTTTTGGGAATTAGAACTTTTTTATCGGAAATTTCCTCCTCTTCAACGAGCTTTTTTCAAAATTGCTTAAATATCAATATTTTTTGAGTAATTATAACGAAAAACTAAATACTATTTTTCTTCAATCTTATTTTGTTGATAACAATTGCAATTTTTTACCTGCACCAGAATCCTCCAAAAACATTTTTCTGGAGTTGATTCGGAATTGAATGAGCTATCGATCATATTTTTAGGACCTTTTTCTCTATTTTTCATGTTTTTGAATTTGTTGATTAGACTAGAAGTAGAACTAATGTGCAAGGAAATTTTTATCTCACAATATGTCACATGACGAATTTACATTATCAGATCACACACCTAATCGATGCTTTGTGGCACAACAACCAAAATTCACGCAATTTGTCGGCGACCGAACTACGACCACGATTGAATTCACTATACCAGCGATATACTGTGGTTTTTGATGGTGCTTTATCGCCATACAAATAACTGAGTTCATCGACATATTCTTGTTGAGATATTCACGTCTAAAGTTGTGAAAAATAATCCAACAAAAACCTTCTCATAAACTTTAAATTTTTTGGTTAAATTGATTTTATTAACTCACTGCAAACAAAGCAAATAGCACATCAAAACGTTGCGAGTATTGCCAGTTCCCGAAATATAACTAGTCCCTCATCGTATTATTTTTCTTTCGATTATTTCCGTCAGAACAGTGAAATGATGAAAAAATTGAAAACTAGACCGTCGAAACCAAGTTTTACACGATAAAACTTATCCTCCGAACAATAATAAAATTGACAGCGATAAAACTGACAGTCATGAAATGATAGTTTATCAGTAAATAATGTAAATAGGTACAAAATTATGGTGTTATACTGTTGGAAAGGAAATTTCATATCCCACTGAATGATTTGGAAAATATTCAGTTTTATTCAAAATTGTTTCGTCCACTTCCGGTTGAACCAAAGTGAGGTCAAAATATCGATCTTATATTCCAAATTATCCAATTTCTAACCTTACCAATGATTGAATGGTATCGTGAACAAATATTTAGGGACTTACTTTGGTTAATATTTTCGAAATATTCTCATCGTCGATGTAGTCAGGATAATTTTCTGTGATTACGGGAAAATCGACAAGAGGAAAAGGGGTAGTTGGCTCATCGATGAAGGCTTGTGGCTCAAGAATTTCCAAATTTATTCCTGAAATTGCCCGAGAACATCCAGCGAACATACTGCAAAAATGATATGGTTAGGTTCAGGTCTGAAATAGTTTTTTTTTTATTTCAGGTCACAATATTTTGCTTCTTTCAGAAAATACCGTTCTCCAAATCACTCATTTCCATATTTTTTTGTCATTATTTTTTTTTTCAAGTATTTCAAGTATTTAAAAATGGAAAATAAACCTATAAAACCGGTTATCAATTTTACCAAAGCACCTTCATACAAAATTTCAAAAATCATAGCCGATGAAGTGAAAAACAAAATCAACAGGAACAACAACCACAGCGTCAAAAATTCAATGGAACTCACGGACAGAATCTTAACAACAAAGGTCAGCCCGAATACTAAACTATTCTCATTCGACATAAAAATAATGTTCTCCAACATACCGGTCACCGAAAGTATAAACATCATATCTGATGAACTAAAACACCAAAACATAGATAAAATCTACAATAATCAAATGGAACACAGTCTTAATACAACACTCAATCAAAATTATTTCGAATCTGAAGGAAAAATTTATAAACAAACAGATGGACTAGCGATGGGATCCCCACTATCAAGCATTATATCCAAAATATAACTACAAACCATAGATGAGAAAATATTAACAAACATAAAAACTCATGATAACGAAGGAGAATGGTTCAGATACGTTGACGATGGACTGTACATATCACAAAACAATGGAATAAGAATAGATCGAATAACAAAGGAAATTAACGAAATAAATCAAAAACTATTTTTCAGCATTGAGAAAGAACACAACTCTAAACTCAACTACCTGGACATAACCATCGGATATAACCTCAACAAAACACAATTTGAAATGGCAATATACGGGAAACCTACTCAAACAAGCTCCACCATACCCGCAAGTTCAAACCATCCACCATCACACAAAATGGCTGCCTATAACGCAGTCATATATAGAATGTTAAGAATGCCACTCAGCAATGAAGCTCGAAACAAAGAACGAAAAATCATATACCAAATAGCGAACGAGAACGGATACACCCAAAAGACAATACATAAATTAGAAAACAGAAACAAACAAAAAATACAGAACAAGGATCAAGCCACCCCAACAGACAAAACAACACAACGATGGACAGCATTTACGTACGTAGGACACCAAACCAAAAAACTAACAGACGTCTTCAAGCCACTGAACATCAACATCACATATAAGCCAAACATGAAAATAACACAAAAAATAAACAACTATGAAAAAGGAAAAGACAAAAACCAAAAGGGGATATACAGTATACAATGCTTCGACTTCAACAAATTCTATATCGGCCAAACCAAGAAAAAACTGATCCAAAGGTACGATGAGCACAAAAAGGCATACATAAACCCAATAGTATATAAATCAAACCTTGCAACACACGCCATACAAAACAAACATAATTTCCCCCACCAGAGAACATAAAATTCATAAAACAAGTCAATAAGGGAAACCGCATGGACAACAAGTACAAATCAAAACACAACAAGACCTAACATTCAATATATTGAACAAATCAATACACACTCCTAGAAACAGTAAACCTTGAGAAGATCCAACACAAAGAATAGTACCTGATGTAATCCAAATACAGGCAAATTTACCTAGAGTACCTGGAGTACCTACATTGTACCTACTGTCAGTGTTTTTGCCACCGCGTGAATTTGTTTTTGGTGGTGGCGTGAATTTGCGTTCAGGTACCTTTTCGTGTGTGTTGGCTTTCGATATACCGTGTGGCCTAGTGTACCATCCGGCTTTTTCATAATCAGCACATCGAGAAATGCAAGCTGGTTACCTTCTTCAACTTCTTTCGTGAATTGAATGCGTGTATGGATTTCATTCAAGTGATTAAAAAACCTTGAAAGTTCCTGGTGTCCATGAGACCAAATCACGAAGATGTCATCGACATACCTCAGCCAGAGTTTAGGTTTCAAGTGTGCCGTTGCTATTGCTTTAGTTTTGATTTCTTCCATAAGGAGATTGACAACAATCGGTGATAGTGGCGAGCCCATTGGTGACCCTTCAATTTGTCTGTATCGTTGGTCGTTATAGATGAAGTAAGTGTTTTTGATGCAATGTTCCGCAAAGGTGATGGTATGCTCTCCCGGTTTGTATTTCTTTTTAATTATTTCTAGTGCCTCTCCGGTGGGTTAATAACGAATTTACATCACAGCAGACCAGGATGTCGTTCGGACTGACGGTTTGTGTTTTCAATATGTCTATGAGATGGTCGGCATTGCGCACATATGAATCGACATGTTCCGCATGTGGTTGAAGTACATGAGAACCTGAATTTACAGTTCACAATTCGGATGTGCCAATTTAAAAACCGAAGAGTAAATTAAATCGATTTGATCATTTAACAGGTTGCACCCGCAATGTTTATGCTTGTGAATTTCCAAGGATTCTAAATAATTGAGTTTGCAACCCTTCCTTGCATAGTGCAGAATTTCCGTATCGTTTAGATTCGGAAACTTGTGGTTGCATGCCAAGGAATGGTTTGAAAATGTCGAATCATTTTTTTCCAGTCTGAAGGACCTTTCATGTTCAGCATACCGTTTTTGGAAATTTAGTCCGCATTGTCCCACACAAACACTATTACACTCCGGACACTTTGTAGCATTCGGAGATGCTACTTTCTGTTTTTCCTGTGTATATATAATTTCGAAGAAATCAGTTCGTGAGGATGCTTGTAGGTATTTTTAAATCAATTCAAAGTGCGACGACTTTCATTCAGAAAAAGTACTGAAAAGTGATAATGATTAAAAATATATTTCACTCAATCGTGATCGAATGAATGTGAAATGATTGAATTGAATATATGAATAGATCAACGCAACCAGGTCAGCTGTGGTAGAATTCAAATCAAGTATTTAGCTACTGTTTCTTCATAATTGTTTCCTTAAGATATTTTGGATATTCACCTATTGTTATATATTTCATACAGTCTTCTTAGATTTATTCGGCATTGTGTCCCATCATTTAAGATTTCTTTAAATCCTGAAGGAGTACTCCTATCTATCAGAGATGGCACCATTATACTCAGTCATGCTATCTGCGTAAGGCTAATAGTGCAAAAATGGCCGTAGAGGTGAATTCATGAAGCGAGTTCGTTTGCTGATAAAATTGCATATCTGCGAATATTGGAGGAAACTCAAAGTGCCACTCTGACAAGGTGTCTACTCACTTCCTTCAGATGAGTTTCGTGAAGAAGTATCATTTATGAAGATATAACACCTTCTGGTAGTTTTTTTGTCTACTACCGGCTCTCCAAATTTTTATTATTTGAATGAAGTCGAATACCAATATATTTCCACTTCATTTATTGGCGAATTCAAGAAATTATCAAGGAGTTTTTTGATATTTCAACCCTCCATCAGTGGGGGTTGTAGGTATGGTTATCGAACCCTGTATTTACCGGTAAAGCTGGAAATAAAAATAAATCCCAATATTATTATTCCACCCCGGAGTTAACTGGATGAAATCATAATTTCGTTGGTTGGAACTATGAAATCTTCTATCTTCCGAGAATCCTAATAGATCGACCACTATACGGAAAGAAGGCGAACAACAGCCCGATCCTGATTCTCCTACCAGCACTATCTAGTCCAGAAATAACAGGCCAGATTTATTTTATTACCATTTTTTTATTACTTATCATATTCGACAAGAAAATATCATCAAGTGTAAACTAACACGCAGTACTGGGTGATTGCAAGAAATACTTATGCATTCAAATGTATACTTTTACATAAAAGGTAACACCTTATAATACAAAAAAAACTAATATCCGTGCACGATATATGTCCAACACATTCCTTTGATATCTTTAGAGCCTCAGCTAACTCGGCAAACTTCAATTAGCGGTCATCCAATATTATTTGGCGAGTTTTTTGAGGTTTTCGTCGGTAACAACCTTTTTGCATCGTCTATGATGCTCATTTCACCTCGTTTAAACTTGGGCAAATCATTTCTTAACGGTTGATTTTCCTGGTTCAAAGTCCGAATAATGTTTATCAAGTCAAGCCTCGGCTTCAACAGTATTTTTTTCCACCAAGAAGCAATGCTTTATCAACATACAACATACCTTTCAATCCGTTTTTTTAAAACTAACAAAAGTTGCTTCATTTGAAATGTTCTTTTCCAGAGGCAGTTGTGAAATTTGTACACATGTCTTTTGAGAGTTAGGACCAAGTAAAAATCATAAGGATTACCACCATTTTAGACAACAGAAGTCCGAACTTGCAACAATCACCAAGATACATTGTCAACCACTCTCAGAAGAAAGTGAACGTTATTTAATATTCGTCCTATGACAGAAATCTGACTTCAATCAGTTATTCCTGATGACTCCTACGATGATTACTATGATGCTGTGTACCAAACTGCTACTTCCAACTGAAGGACGAATTTTTTACGCAAGATGAGGGGTTGCCAACGGGATCGCCACTTTCACCAGTTATAGCAAACACATATATGGAGTGGTTTGAAACTCTTGCTATTGAAGAAGCCCATAAAAAGCCCCGAGTCTGGTTGAGATACATTGACGACACCTTCATAATACGGAACCACGAGAATGCAGAACTAGACACCTTCCTGAAGCACCTCAACAGCGTAAGACCTTTCATTACTCCCACATTGGAGAAGGAAGTCCACAACGAATTACCATTCCTAGATGTATTGGTGAAGAGGACCGACACTAAGTAGGAAACATCTGTACCGGAAACCCACTCACATGGGACAGTATCTGAACCACTAATCAGTTGAGAGAGGAATCATCAAGACCCTAGTAGACCGTGCTTTCTGGCTCTGTAACACGAAGGAAGGCGTCATCAAAAATGGTCTTCAACGGAATGGTTATTCCAAACTGATGGTCGAACTTGGTGATGTTGATGGTGGGCTTTGGCTAAAAGAGAGCAAGAGCCTCGCAACGAAGAGAAACCAACACAACCAGTGCTTGCACTTCCCTACACTGGAGGATTATCGGAAAGGATGTGAAGAATTGGGCCCAAGTACAACATCAGAACCTGCTTCAGATCCGGAAACACTATCCGTAGCAGCCTCACAAAAACCATGCCACCTAACGCGTACTGCGATTCCAAGAATTGCAATTACCTGATATCCTGTGAGGCCGCAAAATCCTATATCAGTGAAACTAAGAGACCATTGAAAGTCCGCATTGCCGAGCACAAGCACACACAGCGAAGAGAAATCGGAAAATCAGGAAGAGTAGAGTATGTTTGAACTCATCAACTTGAAATCAAGTGGTCTTAACCTGAGATCATCCACAAGAAGGAACACTGGTTTAGGAGGAAATTCAAAGAAGCCGCATATATGTTGTCCAACAACGCATTCAGTCAAGCTAGTGTAAAAGATACGCAACATATGGAAACCCATAATCAAGCGGAAAACGGCCACCTTCCGCAATACGGTCAGCGTCCGCTAAACCGGTGAAGCGGAGGAAATAGGTGAAAGCACTCGAATGATCTATAAATAGTCACCTCTCGCAGGAATAACTCCAGTCATCATGATTGTTGATACTAACAATCGAAACATCGTAAAGTAACTTGGCTCGAAATCTTTTAATTTTCATGTCTTTTCAATTGTTGCTTGTATTTTATTTCATTGTAATTTCAGTTCAGGGTTTTTTTGCTCAATATAATTTTTATTTTCAGCTTTTCTTGTTAATTTTATTGATTCTTTCAAGGATTTCAGATTATTTTATATCATATTAGACAGTGGAAGTGCGAACTTATGAAATACTCCAATCAGTTAATTCCAAAACTTACTGTACTGCCTTCTCAATGTCGCTCGACAACATGTTGATGTAACTTTCATCTTCAATGTGATCTAGATATTTATCAGACGCGAACTGACACACTTCTGACGTTGCTTCAGCTATATCAGGATCGGATTTCTGTTCATATTGGGTAGCTATTTTGCTAGAAATGACAGCAACTTGTTTGGCCACTTCTCTGCTTTCCAGAGGTATCTGAAATCATAATGAAAAGATGAAAAGCATATTGAACTGAAGAAACGCTAATTTCAGAGAAGGGTGATAACATCCCCCCTCATGATGCCATCTATGGGATCGTCAAAGAACTCAATAATTCCTAGAATTGATTTCTTTGTCGATCCCATAGATGGCGGGAGGAGCCATCGCCCAATGACGTATCAGACGTGTTCAATATTTTCTAAATTTTGAAACTATATGAAAAAATCTTTAAAGTTAGCAACTTGTTTCTAATTTGAATTTCTCCTACGGTTGCCCATTTTGCCACTCTAGTAACAAAATCTCACTTTTTGATTAATTAATTAAATTCGTTTCGCTTATTTGATTGCATTTTGAAAAACTTTCCACTGACAATTTGCGCGTCAGAACTAACAAGCAATGTATGAAAGCTGACAGTTGACTTTTCATAACTGAGATCATACGTCTCCGGGTATAAAAAATACCTTTGATACGTCAGCTATCATTCTTGAAGATATATCAGCTAGTGTTACCAACCTCTTGAAACGAAATGCTGCTCTTTGTGTGAGACTCATTGAAAAGTTACAATTTTTTATCAAATATTCCTTTTTTTAATAAATTGATGGATGTAGCCGTTACAACGTGGTGGAAGATCATAATGAAAAGAGAAATGAAAATTTCTATGTTTTTTACCACTTTTATTTTATAAATTATTCCTTTTTTCGAAATAATCGGTTTTTTGAGCGGGAACTACACTGATTAAACGACCGGAAAGAACGTAAATATCTACCAAATGAATTTGAGCACTATCTTAGTTCAAGAAGAAACTGAACCTATATTTGATATCAATTAAATTAGATTTTCTTGAACTGGAGAAATGTTTCTTGGCTGTTTCCTCATTTGTTTCTGAATATGTTATAATATACTTCTTAGTTAAATTGCTTTTTTAACTATTCGGTAGTTTTTGTTGTGTGTATGATAATGTCTCAGATACTTTGCCTAATTTTCTAAGGGTTGGGTTGTGAAACAGCGTAAGCTTAACTTCGCCTTTCATCCTCATCCCTTTTTTCAATACGGTAATTTGTTCGATCATCAAGCCTAGTTTTTTCACTGAAGGGAAAGCTGACTAGCTTATTCATTTTTTTGGCCAAGATTACTGCCGTCGTACGATAAGCCGGCATAATCTTGAGATTCGACAGAAGACATCATTCCACCAAGGATTCCAATAATAATCAGGACAGCCATTTGGAAAGAGTCTGCATAGTTCGGTATATTATCTGCTTTTTTTCTTTTTGGACGATATTTGTCTCACACCGAGCTGAAAACTCCTCCACGAATATCGTCTGACTCTGAAGATCGAGAAGAACTACACCAGGCTCATAAACTCAGAATGAGGATGGAGAATGAATAGTTCCAATGCAATGAATAGTTTCCTACAACTGATCAGTTTTATTATTCCCTAAGATTGTCTTGTCTCCGAAACATTCAGAGAGCGCGATACCATTATCAACCAATGACCACTTACCACACCGTGAGGTGAATGATCATAGGGTCCAAGAATCATGTTCCCCGAGCAGAGAATAGGGAGGACATCATTGCTTCAAGGACAACAGTTATCAGAATAGTCATCTTGACAGAGTGGTCTAAATAGGGTTTGTGAGGTTCGAATGGAAAATCTGGATATTTTTTCCTTCTCTTTTCCGACGACATTCATCTTGCTGGGAACTGAATTCTATGATGAATATTTTAATCATCATTATTTCTCCCAGATATCGAAATACGGGGTTTGCATCTTCCAAATGTATCCTTGGCCTGAATAAGGATTAACGTTAGTCTATTAATTACAGTTGTTTGGAAACGTCAACGTTTGACATAGAAGTACACAAAAACATTTGAAACTAGAATAAAATAAGTAAAAATTGTTGGATGTTGAAGCGTGGCACAGCTGTTCAACGGAAAAATAGATTTCAAACATATTTTTTAAACTGTATGTTCTCAGCATACTTTTCATAAGATGGTATGTAAATACCGAGTGTTAATCGCAAGCATGATGACATATGTTCGTCAGTTAGTCGATTGCGATATTTTGACTTTGTATTTGAATTTTGTATTAGATGCTGTGGCTTTGAGATGTATATCTGATACAATCTGCCCCAACTCATTTTCAACGGAACATGAATCCATGTTAAACTGACTTGCTATTTCAGTAGCTAATTCCTCAATGATTTTACACGAAAAAGGATAACTCATAAATGGTGCGATATTTGTCAATCTATTGAAATAATAATAACGTATTTCGTATTGGCCCAAAATATGTGATAATTCTGCCTCATAAATATCATAATTCAACTGAGGAATAATAATAATAATAATAATGTTTATTTCCAAAGAAAAAAGTTACAATTATATCAATAACAAATTGCTTAATTAAATTCAAATGTACTAAGTTAAATAACATCATTCAATACTCTACAAAAATTGCATTTTGAAATAAACAAACGAACCACTAAGGCTAAGAAGCCAGCGCGTGGTTATGGTACGTTATATTTTGTAACACAATTTAGTGTAATTGTTTGAAAATAATTTCTATATTTAAACAAACTATTGTAATAATGATATTCTATACTACATAAACAAAATAATTAAATGATCATAACATGAATAATTTTTTAAAAGTTGCGCGCCAATGTGTATGAGAACCATTTTTTGTGACAATGTCATTTTTGTATAGTTTTCCTATCTTTCAATGAATATTACCGCAGGGAATTCGGGTCTATCAGATTATGTATTTTTTTCCTCTCTATTTCGTGGAGGTACTGCTTTGTTTTTTTTTTGAATAAAACAATTGATGTTAAGTCTTTGATGTTCTTAGGGATATTGTTAANAGGTGAAAGAAATATTGAAGACTGTGTCTGCGTTCCTTTCAGCGGTGGAATTGCAGGCGCCCTAATTTTTTCAGCGAATTTTTTTCCTAACAATGTATAATGAGGAATCCTTGCTTTCAAAGAGGGAAAATGTTTCAGATCCTTTCTTTTCAGTTGATCTTTCATAGTTGTCATTTATTCTTGAATGCGTTTATTGCGCTAATCATCTCAATAATAGTTTTTCCTTTACCTTGGAGCTCCAAGTTATTGGTGTTTAAATGCATTGTGATGTATGTCAGAAATGCCAAATCAGTCAGCCATTTTCCGGTCACCATCCCTTTCGTCCAGAAAAGATGTTATTTCGGGCAATAATTCTTGAAACCTTTTTAGGAATTTTCCGCAACTTAACCACCTGACGTGTGCAGAACTAAATCAGTGTGTTTAGCTGACTCACTATCTTCCAACTGCAATTTAAAGAGCCGTCGTTGCAAGCTACGTGCACGGATGAAATTCCCAATAGTTATTGCGATGCCCATAATCTCCTTCATGTTCAGAACTTTTGAACACAAAATTTGTTGATGTATAATGAAATGGAAGGAGAAAAATGAAGGGAAATCGTCATTAGCTCGACACAATGCCACAAAACCCTTTTTGTTTCCAGTCATTGCTGGTGCTTCATCGGTTGTAATGCACACTAGTTTATACAGGGTGTCCCTGGACTTCCTCTTTTCCTCTCGGGAATGTATAGATGGGGTCAAAATATCACCAGTACTTCATATAACTTTTTTTCCTAAAATCCTTCGTTACCAAGTAACGGGCCCTCGAAGTTACAAAATGAAAAATGTTTTTCTTTGATAACTTTTCAAGTGAATATTCAAAATCATCCAAATTTTGGTA